GCCTATTACTCGCCAAAAACAAAACAATCATCCCAGGTATGTGGCGGCATTGGGACACACCACATGGCTCACTGAGGTGCTCCAGTGCTACGAAAAGCCCTCTACGCCAGGGCTTTTCCTCGCCCATTGCGAGATGTAACTCGGTCTCACCTGTGGGCTCGAGGGGAATGGGCTGGCCACTATTTTTGCGCATCGGGCTCAAGTTTTCCTTTTTCTTTTTCTCTGTGTGTTTTCATCGGTTTTCCTTCGTTTCTTCACTAGCATTTTTTGGTCTTTCTGCATTTTTTCACAGGTTTTCTTTGGTTTTTTCTTTTGTTTTCCTTTTTTACTCATGTCTATTTTTTCAATACACATTGTACATTTTTAATATACATGTGAAACATTCTTTTGATACACATTGAACATTTTTTCAAATAGATTTTTGAACATTTTTGCTAATACATGTCAGACATTTCTTAAAATACAAGTTGAACATTTTTTTAATGTCACGGAACATTTTATTTAATTTACGTGGATATTTTATTACATTATATAAACATTAAACGGCACGACGACTTTTTTGAAACACATGGATATTTGTTTATAATTACACGTACATTTTTTGAGTTGTACTTAACATTTTTTTATAGTATGCGAACTTTTTTTTACATTGTATTAGAAAAGTTATATTACACAATACTTTTCTAAACATGTGAATACTTTTTTTAAATGGTACATCTTTTCAATAGTACGAAACATTTTTCTTAATTATGTGTACACTTTTTACATTTAAGAAATAAATTTTAAAAACGTCACGTACATTTATTAATACTTTTAGTTTTGAAACAATCACGTGGATGTTTTTTCATAAATTTAAGGAACAAAATTTTTATTTGAAATGTGAGTAAAATTAATAAATGAAAAAAAAACATGCGCTGGTTTTTCTTTTTGAGGGACCGCACCCTCTCCAACTAGGTGCTCCCCACGCAACAATGCAGGCAAGCAGTACCAAATTCAGCTTTTTTTTAGAAACAGTACCAAATTCAGCTTCTTTTTAGTACCAAATTCAGCTAAAAAAGAGTACTAGTACCGAATTGTTGTAGCCCTTGTACGGCAAGGTGGCGAACCGGGTTAGCCCTTGGCGCGGCCGGTTCCTCTCCTCGGCGGCCAGGCTGATCCTGACTAATTCCAGCCTCTCTTCCCTCCCTCTGTTCATAACGGGCATGTTCTTGCTGACTGATGGGGTTGATGCCAAGCTTGATACTCCCCGGGCCAAGTTCTTTTGGGAAGAAACTGGGATCAAAAAGAAGTACCACTTGATCAAATGGGCCGCGCTATGCCGCCCAAAGAAATTTGGGGTCCTTGGGATCCTTAGCTCCAAACTCATGAATGCCGCGCTCCTCACCAAGTGGATTTGAAAACTTTCCCAAAACGAGCAAGGGCTTCGGGCGGACATCCTTCGTGCCAAATACTTCCCCGATGGAAATTTCCTCACCTCCAAAGCTAAGGGATCACCTTTCTGGAATGGGATCCAGAAAGTTATGCCAGCCTTCACGTTAGGCCCCAAGTTCAGCGTCAATAACGGTACCTCTACGCAATTTTGGCTAAACCATTGGTTTGCCTCGGGACCCTCGTGGAGGAGTCATTTTGCTGCCTACCAATTAGCCACTAACGTTGATATTCTTGTGGCCGACGCGCTTAGTTCCAACCCGCCCGCTGTCTCCTTCAAAAGACCCCTCCTCGCTAACGAACGAGCCTGTTGGGACGGGCTTGTTGCTGCTTTGGCTGGAGTGGTTCTTCGCCCTGAGGCCAACTCGGTCTCCTGGTCCCTCTCGCGCTCTGGGAAGTTTTCTGTCCAATCCCTTTACAACAAGCTGACTGAGGGACCGACCCTGGACATAGCTCGGAGGCTGTGGAAAGCGTCTATTCACCTGAAGATCAAAAATTTCCTATGGCAAATGTTTCGCGACCGCCTGCCCTCCTCTAATAACATCACTATTAGGAACGGGCCTTCCGATGGCTCTTGCGTGCTATGCGGACAACACGAAGATGCCAACCACATCTTTTTCAACTGCTACCTCGCCCGCTTTGCTTGGAGTGCAGTTAGGGAGGCTTTTGATCAGAATTGGAACCCGCTTTCGGTTTCGGATCTTCGTGGAATTCTTGTCGCTCATAGGGGTGGTTTTGGGCGTGTGCTTTGGAGATGTGTGGGTGCTTTGCTGTGGGCCATCTGGACCACACGCAACAAGATGACTATTGAGCACAAATTTCCTACTCGCCCTGCTGACATTATTTTCAAATGTCACTTGTTCCTTCATACATGGACACCGTTGGAGAAACGGCGTGATGCAGACCGGATGACGGAGGCTATGGAGCGGATTCGTTTGATCCAGATTGGCGCCCGCCACTAGCTTGCTGCTGGATGCTGTTTTTTGTATTGGCCGATTGCGAGTTGCTGCTTATTTTCCTTATCTTGCAGGCTTCGGCCGGTGGCATGTACCGTACCTTGGCTGCGGCAGCTTTATTTTCTGTTGTTCTGTGTTGAACTTGTTGGATACTGCCTGTTGGTAGGCTTTATTAATTTAAAGCCGGACGCCTCCGGCGTCTTCGTTCTAAATTTTTTTTGTTGTAGCCCAATAGGTATGGGCCTCTGGGCCGTTGTTGGTCCAAGCGACGGAAGGTGCCACCAGCGTGGCCAACGGCTCTCCCTCGCAAACTGGCCGGAAACAGGGAGAAACACAAACCCGCCTCGCATTACCGTAATCGCCACGGAAGACAAGCGCCGCCTGTCTCAACATATATAGCGACGCAACGCAACCCAGCCAAGCGGAGGAACAACAAACACAAAGCTTCATCAGGATCGATCCTCTCGTCTTGTCCAACTCCGGTGCCGGTGCGTATCCCTTCCTAGTTCCTGCCCCGCTCCTTCCCTGTACGTGTATACTCGCCGACAAATCCGAGGCCGAGCAGAGAGAGCATCCAACCCGGCGGCGCCGTGACACGGCCGCTGCTCCCGGGCGCACTCCACGGTACTAGAGGTGGGGAGGCGCTCTCGCCCGCCGGTGGGTGTGCTAGGGTTTTGAGAGGGTTCCCACCTCCGCACTTCCGAATAACCCATCTCGGGATGCAACTTCTTTTCCCTTCCTTCCTGCCCATAAAGCCCCAATTCCATTGGTGCTCTGGTCTCCAAGCACACGCCGCGAGTGTTGCGGCAGCTGTGCCTGTGCGACTCAAACACCTGCGGACCGAGTCGGACTTTTGAGTATCTGATATGCGCTAGTAATTTTGTTTGGGTTTAGAACAAACTGGACCATGATGTTGGGTTATTTTCTTGTGGTTGTTGACTGATTTTTCTTTTACGTTTTGTTCTGATATGATTTCATTACTCCCTGTAACGACTGCTCCATTCGATTTCATGCAAGCTTTGCAGAGATTTAATTTTTTTTTTAGAAAAAGGAGGAAGACCCCGGCCTCTGCATCTGGACGATGCATACAACCATTTTATTAATTATTAAGACAAGACCTTACAAAGTCATACAACAGTAAGACTAAAGCAACCGTCTAAGCAACATCTGTCGCTACTCCTATCCAGTTGATAAACGGGCGCTGATAGTCTGGGTCTAATACCAAACAGACCTCGCAGCCAAACCTAACATCCAAGACCCGAGGTCCCAACCAGGACGCCTGCCGGGTATGGGCACCCACCAGTCCGGTGTGCTCTTCAACCAGGACGCCTGCCGGGTATGTGGCCGCCGCAGCCACCTGCCACCAATCCATCTTCAGAACTGTACTGCTGCATCTACCTTGCCCGGTCTAGCTGCCGTCGACGCCACCATGACCCCAGACCGCGTCACCCTCCTGCGCGAGTCCATCTCCGCGCATCGGACGCCGAGTCACCACAGCGCCATCAATGAGTGAGATGAAGCACCGCTCCACCAAAGAATCCGTCCTTTGGTCCCTCGATCACGCGTGCACCTCCAAGAATGACACCCCAAAGGGGGGAACGACACTAGAGCGCCGCCGTCATCCGATCATCCGATCTAGGGTTTCCCCCGGAGGTAGCAGAGAGTGGCCTTGAATTTTTCCACGGCGATGCCTTCAAGAAGGGAATAGCACCGCCACCGCCGGCCTTGGCAATAGCTGAAAGCAAGTTTTCACCCAGATCTATTCGAAGGAATCCAACGCACGTGCACGGCCGCCGCCACCACCAGGCTAAGCACTCGCCGCCACCGGCACCTCCACGATGCCCAGAGGCCGCGAGACTCGCCGCCACCACGCCTGGGCCGCCGGCCACCGCTGCCAACACCAAACCCACCATCCACCGGATCTAGGCAGGGATCCCAGATCCATCCCCCACAACCCACCACCACGGAGGGGAGGAGGCGGCACCAGCGAGGGACGCTGGAAGGGGGAGAAGGAGCCGAGGCAGGGCCGGCCCGACGCTCGGCACCACCAGGCAGATGGGAACGCCCCGCGGAGTCCCCACTGCGTGCGGGAGAGAGCTGCCCCGCCGCCGCCAACGCCACACGGCCTTTGGCCAGCGACGCCCCAGGTGGCGGCTAGGGAGGGGGTTGAGGCGGAGGGGACGACTGGGGCGGCGCTAGGGTTTCCTCCGGGGGGCGCCCGTGGGAGCGCCTCGGGGAGGAAGTAGAGACCCTTGTGACCCTTGCAGAGATGAAGAAATAAATCTTTCATTGATCATTTGAACCCAGACCTATTCCAGATTCCTAACTTGAAAACTCTGAATCGATTTGATGATGAAGAAATCTGTGTGTTCATTGATCAAGTCAAGTGTATCCAGTATTAGTTCCAGATTTGTAGTAACTTTCCAGAATTAATGCCAGATTCCTAACTTGGAAACCCTCAATTGGTTTGATGATGAAGAAATCATTGTGTTCATTGATCATCTGTATCCAGAATTAATTCCAGATTCCTAACTTGAAAACTCTCAATTGATGGCCTGCAGGCGGTTGAAGGCCCCCCGACTGAATTGTGTCTTCTCCATCAAACAAGGTCTCAACATGTTCATCGTAGAAGACAAAGGCAGTGCCATTGCTCTCATGTGTGCCGCCCTCCTCTTCTTGGGCACATGGCCAGCATTGCTCACCCTGTTGGAGCGCAGGGGACGGCTACCGCAGCACACGTACCTTGATTACTCAATCACCAACCTCCTCGCCGCAGTCCTCATTGCGCTCACCTTGGGCCAGCTTGGGGAGAGCAAGCAAAACATGCCCAATTTCTTCACCCAACTCACTCAGGTTAGCTGTCTAAGTAATCATTCATTTATTTATGCAAGAACTTCCTGATGAGACAATCGATGGTTCATCCAGTTTGCTGACTCTCAATGAATTGTTTGATGAAGGATAACTGGCCTTCGGTGCTGTTTGCAATGGCAGGGGGTCTTGTGCTCAGTATTGGGAACCTTTCTACACAGTATGCTTGGGCATATGTGGGTCTCTCAGTTACTGAGGTTATATGTGCAAGTATGGTTGTTGTAATAGGTAAGTTGATCCCTGCAAACTGAATGCAGTAAACATTCTTATTATTTTTTCTGGTTATGCTTCTGATGATACATGTGACGTACAGCTCATTATTGATCATAATGTTCCTTTATTAATCATTACAATATGGACTGAATTACTAGGTTAGCACTAGTTGGTTTAAGTTAGTCTTTTGCCCAATAACACTAGTTATTTGATAGTTCCTAGTTTCTTCAAAAAAGTGTCTGTCAATCTTAGGTGAATCATTTAGCAAGGCATTATTGTCTAGGTTTAAAAACATCTCAAGAAACATCTCAAGATATGAACAGCTTTGATGATACAAGTATAGCTGATATCTGAACTGAAAGAACTGATGCACCAAAATTACATGTTGGATTTTTAGCTGCCTCTTTATTTATTTTTAATATTTCTTCTGTTAAGTTGTGTGTTGTATTTCAGGCACAACACTGAATTATTTCCTGGACAACCGCATCAACAGGGCAGATATTCTTTTACCGAAAAAGGCTTTCGCCCCGCTTTATAGATAAAGCACACCGCCACAAAACACACAACCCCAACAGGTTCAGACACACACACCCAAGTAGCACAACAAAGTCATAAGGTACTGCTGAGGGCACAGCTCAACAAGCCCAAAGAAACAGAAAAGGAAACCGGGCGAGGCCGGGCGAGAGACCCACGCAGGGGACTAGTCAGGCTCCGGCGGAGGGGGCGGCGGCGGCGGCGACAGGCGGACGGCCATCGAGCGGAGGTCGGCGATGAAGGCGGAGATGGCGTCGCGCTCCAGGAGACGGCTAAGCGGCCGCCAAAGCTGCAGGAAACCCGAGAATTTGTAGAGAGCGTCAGTAGCACGACGAAGCGGAGTGCGCTCAATCACAAGCTTATTACGAACAGTCCAAAGAGTCCAGGCTAGGGTCCCAACCTCCAGCCACCTAATGTGGCGGGAGGACGGGGGGGACGCTTGGAGTTCAGCAAAAAGGTCGGGGAAGTTGGTGTGAGTCCAATTTCCGCCGACAAGCTCGCGAAAACAGCTCCAGAGGAACTGGGCAGAGGTGCAAGCGAAGAAGATGTGGTTAGAGTCCTCGGGGACGGCACAGAGGGGGCAGAGACCAGAACCCGGGCCATTACGCTTGCGGACCTCCACACCGGAGGGGATCCGTCCCCGGATCCACTGCCACATGAAGATACGGATCTTCAGAGGGAGGCGGACGGACCAAACCATTGAGAGGGGGGGAGGGGCGGCGGAGGGGGCAATGGCCGCATAGAGCGATTTGGTAGAGAACTGGCCAGACGGCTCCAAATGCCATCGAACACGGTCTTGGACGCCGTCAACCAGCGGCTCATGAAGAGCGACGCACTCAAGAAGCTCACGCCAGACGGCGGATTCCGCAGGCCCAAATGGCCGACGGAAAGCGAGGCGCCCTAAGTCAAATAGGGCCCTATCAACAGAGATCATGGGGTCGACAGAGATAGCAAAGAGAATGGGGAAGCGAGCCGCAAAGGGGGCGTCACCGGCCCAACGGTCATACCAGAATAACGTCGAACGGCCAGATCCTACCGAGATAGAGGTACCAATGCGGAGCATAGGGAGGAGCTGGACAAGGGACTGCCAGAACTGAGAGCCACCCGACTTCTGGCAGAAGGCAAGGGGTTGGCCGCGCAGGTATTTATTCCGGATAATGTCCAGCCAGAGGCCCCCGTGGCCCTGCGAGATGCGCCACAGCCATCGGGAGAGGAGGGCAATATTCATCCGTTTGGAGCACATGATCCCCAAACCCCCCTGCTCCCTCGGCTTGCAGATGTCAGGCCAGCTGACCATGTGATACTTCTGCTTGCCGTGCTCCCCAGCCCAATAGAAGCGGGACTGGATTTTGGCGATCTCCTTATGAAGAGAATCGTGAAGGCTGTAGAAACTCATAAGAAATAAGAGGAGACTGGAGAGGGAGGAGTTGATAAGAATAGTCCTGGCCGCCTTGGACAGCCACCTCCCCTGCCAAGGCTCGCATCTAGTCTGGAGCTTGGTCATGGAGGGGCGAAGATCGGCGGCCAGGAGGCGCGAGTGACTGATGGGCGTCCCCAGATAGGTAGAAGGAAACGAGCCCAAGCGGCAATTGAGTCTATTGGCAATGGCCACTGACTCCTCGGGAGAGTATCCCATCACCATAACATCGCTCTTATCAAAGTTGATCTTGAGGCCCGACATCTGCTGAAAGCAAAGGAGGAGGAATTTGAGATTGGCGATGTCCATCTCCGAGCCTTCGACCATGATGATCGTGTCGTCCGCATACTGGAGGATGGAGATCCCCGCGTCCCCGGAGAGATGGGGGGCGATGCCTCGAAGGTGGCCCGCAGCTTTCGCCTTATCGAGAATGGAAGCCAAAGCGTCCACGACCATGTTGAAGAGGAACGGGGAGAAGGGGTCGCCTTGGCGCACCCCACAAAGGGTAGGGAAGAAGGGACCAATTTCGCCATTAATATTGACCGCCGTGCGACCGCAAGAGACCATTTGCATGACTCTCGTGATCCACCGGTCGTCAAATCCCTTGCGCAGAAGGACTTCCCGAAGGAAGGGCCAGCTAACCGTGTCATAAGCTTTGTGAAAATCGATCTTCAGAAAGACCGCCTTCAGGTGTTTGACCCGGACCTCATGAAGAACCTCGTGCAGGACCAAGACCCCATCAAGGATGAACCGGCCCTGAATGAACGCCGACTGATTAGGGTGAGTGATCCGGTCGGCCAGCAGGGTCACCCTATTGGCGTACCCTTTGGCCAAGATCCGGAAGATCACGTTTATGACCGTAATCGGGCGGAACTGGCGGATGTCAGTCGCCCCAGGGACCTTGGGAATGAGGGAGATGGTCCCAAAGTTGAGGCGGCCAAGGTCGATCGAGCCCACGAAGAATGCCTCGAAAATGGCCATGATCTCGGGTTTGACCACGCTCCAGAAGGTTTGGAAGAAGAGAACCGGGAGGCCGTCCGGGCCCGGCGCCGAGGAGGGATTCATACCCTTGATAGCCTCCCAGACCTCTTGTTCAGAGAAGGGGGCCGTCAAGGTGGCATTGTCTTCGTCAGAGACTAGACGGTCGCCGGTCCAGCAGTCAAAGGCAAGAGAGAGGCCGCTCCGAGGAGCGGGGGAGAAGAGGGAGCGATAGAAGCCATCAACATGGGCGCGGATATCGCGGGGATCCTGAAGGAGAGTGGCTCCCTCCCAAAGGCAGGAGATGGTGTTGCGTCTACGGCGCCCATTTGCGATCGCCTGGAAGTAGGCCGTATTCGCATCCCCCTTCAAGACCCAACGCTGGGCGCCCCGAATGCGCCAATAAGCCTCCTCATCAGAGTAAATCACGGAGAGCTGGTCCTCGAGGTCATAACGGGACATCCACTCGTCAGGAGAGAGACCGATCGCATCAGCCCTGAAGTCGAGGGCCTGGATCGCCGACAGGAGAGCCTTCTTCCGTTCCCTGGAGTCTCTTCCCAGGTTGGCTCCCCACCCCTTCATAAATTGTCGGGCACGCTTCGCACAGAAGTGCCACACATCTATGGCGGAAGGGGGGCGGGGTGGGGATGGCCACGAGCCTCGATCCAACGAGCACTGACGGCGTCGGAGAATCCGGCCTGGGAGAGCCAGAAAGCCTCAAAACGGAACCGAGGGGGAATCGGGGGGCGCTCATCCGCGGAGGAGAGAAGCAGGGGAACGTGGTCAGACCCAATCCGGGTGACGGCACGAAGAGAGGCTAAGGGGCACCGGAGGTCCCACTCGGGGGAAACTAGGACCCTGTCCAAGACGGAGAGGGTCGGGGAGGCTTGGCGGTTGGTCCAAGTAAAACGAGCCCCAACCCGATCAAGCTCCCTGAGGGCGAGGTCGGCAATGAAGTCGTTAAACATGTCCATCCGGGCAAAACTAACATTGCCATTGTTCTTGTCTTCCGCACACCGCAACAGGTTGAAGTCCCCCCCGACAACTACGGGGAGGGAGGCGGCCGAGATTTTCCGGTGAAGTTCCTCCAGGAAGGAGGCCGACCTACTATGG